ACATTAATTGAAATATGTATTATTAATAAATTTAATACTGAGTCGTTATGATTATTAACATGTTACAATTAGACATGCCCCAATTTTTTATCATTTTGTGCAATAATTTTTTAAAAATGATTAATCTCACGATGGGACGTTTTGATTGACGACATCCCATATAGTAACAGGTAAGTTACGGCATTATAGGTGTAACTTACTATCGGCTATATTACTTACTATTACGGCAATTTAAACTCAGGTTACGACAATCATTGGGACGATTCTACTGCATCACTACCCTTGAGTGAGAAATATCCATTTAGTAGCAACACTATTTTAGTTTCATTAACTGGTTGCTGAGTATGCATAATGTACAAATTCGATCACATGGAAGCATTTGAAATCCTGATATAAGCTAATGGTAAGGATAGAATTAGGGATGGGCACGACTCGAGTCGACTCGTATCAAACTTTGAGTGAGTCGAGTCGACTCAGTCTTTGGGCGAATCGAGTTGACGGAATTTTCGAAACATAACCAAGCTTTACTCCTCAAAAGTTGAGCGAGTCGAGTCATGAGTTGAGTCAAGTCGACTCGGGTTGCGACTCGTCGAGTCGTGTCCATCCCTAGGTAGAATGGCCTCCATTATTTTGTATTCTCCAATTTTACAGAATACTAAGTATGGTTAATATATCTACTAATTGTTGTTAGCAATTAATCATCTGAAAAAATTGCCGTCCTGCAAATTAAATAGGCTACTTAAAGCTTGCGTAATCCTTCTGCAATCGGTTAATTAAACTAAACATAGTATTAAATAGTATTAATAATTTTAAAAAAAGAAAATGTTTAAGTATATATATGTTGTCACTCATTTAGAATCTCGGGATAATGTCTCACAATTGCAAGCTTATGGGTCACCAGATGACAATGGCGATATCTCGCAACCACAAAATGACTTCAATGATCTTGATAAGTCACCAAGGTTTACAAGTCCAGATGGTGATATCCCATTCCCGAATCAGTTTACAAGTTCCGATGGTGATATCTCGAAACCACAAAATGATTTCAACGATTTTGATAAGTCACCAAGGTTTACAAGTCCCGATGGTGATATCCCATTCCCGAATCAGTTTACAAGTTCTAATAGTGATATCTCGCAACCACAAAATGACTTCAAAAATCTTGATAAGTCACCAAGGTTTACAAGTCCCGATGGTGATATCCCATTCCCAAATCACTTTACAAGTCCCGATGGTGATATCCCATTCCCAAATCACTTTACAAGTTCCGATGGTGATATTTCTCAACACCCAAATCATTTGAATAATTTCGATGCATTAACAGAACCCATAAGTACAAATGGTGAGTAAAATTGATTTTACACCAAAATGACAGCATAAATTGTTTTTATTTGTCCTAAATAGCTTACTGAAATATTTTTAACATTAAACCCAGGTCATCGATCTGAATTACAGGAATATGAATCTTCCTTGATTAGTAGTTTATATGAGACTAATGTTCCTCAAAGTAAGAAAAATATTATAAATTTTAATAAAAATTTTTTCATATTTGCATTGTTCTTTAATTACTGTTTTTAATTACAATTATATTAACATTTATTTCAATTACAAAATTCCCTATCTGAATTAATAATACATTCAAAAATCAGCATCGACAATAGAAGGTAAAGAGAAACAATCAGATTTTATAATTAAAGATCTTTACTTATCATTTTTTTTAATATTAAATACAGTGCTAATCAAGAAAGTTAGAGTTCTAGGTATAATATTCTCTCTTCACTAATGAAATTCGCGCATCTAAATATTATATCAACATCTAATAACTATTTATTATCTTGGCCCAGAATCACAGCTCCAACAACAAACTGATCTTTTAGATTTAAATTTGGCCGGTAAAGAATTAACAATTGATTGAATCGACATTTTAGTGGTTTGAAACCATTCGAGTACTAAAATTTTGATCCTAAAATAATTACAGAAAGTCCAATTACATCAGCTTTAGTATTGTTGAATTTACAAAGTAAGTACTTTTTCGTAACCCGGATGTATTTTTTTCATCTAAAGACTTATTTACATATTTATTACTTCTATATGTAAACAGGACATCTTGACAATTTGATTACGAGCTTAGAAACAGAAACCTTACGGTTTGATCACTTATTACGTAAGTCGGAAATATCACTTTTGCATAAATACTGTTAAAGTATTAATATAGAGCGCATTTATGGTAATTTAATATGTTTGCTCACTTAAAGCTTATCTTTCTTTGTTATTCCTATAATAGGTGAATTGCGAGGTAATAAGAGCTCTTAATAAAATTAAATTTGATTTGGTGTTAATCATTACATTATTATGTAATTCAGGGTGTCCAAGTTCGCAATTATCAATGATACATTTAAAAGAAGGTTTGGAAGGTTTTATTAGCCAACGTTTAGAGAATCAATTCGAAAGTGAGAAATTAATCATTATGAAAATGTTTGTGATGAATAATAATGACATGTTCATTCACCTTAATATATTTTATTATTATCAATATTCAGCTCTTGACGGTTCACAAATTAATCAGTTTCCAAGTAAGCTAACAGACTCAAAAATAATTAATTAGAATATCGCGTGAATTATCTGTGCTATTGTATGCAGAGCCTACGGACGTGTAACTTGCATTTTTGATATCCTTCACCACTTAGCTAAACCATAAATTTCTATTACTTTTTTGATACTTTGAACGGGATGACCAATACGATTGTACTTTTATTAAAGTTTTTCAAGGATTAGAGCGAAAATATCTGAAAGACGCCTAACCTAATTTAATGAAATTTCAGGATTCTCAAATATCCCGCGCGTGATGGAGATAACATTATGTGCTTCTTAAAAAAAGTAATAGAAATTTTAAGGTATAGCCAAGTGTATTAAAAAATAAGAGCAAGAGTATAAAAAAAATGCACGTTTTGCACTTAATTACTAAACCTAATGCTTCCCTGTAAGAAAAAGTAGCACGTAGTACAGTCCAAAATGGCATGGGGTAAAACAACCATTACCGTTACGTACGCAAAAGTTTCAAAATTGATAGGTCAACGGTTACATTTTTGATAGATCTACGATGTACCTAAAGTTTGATTGCGTTCTTGATGCAGTTTTAGTAAAATATTTTTGAACTTTGAACGAAGATATCTCAGTAACTACTTGACCAAATTCGATGAATTTTTTTTTTTTTTTTTTTTTTTTTTTTTTTTTTTTTTATTTTTCTAATTTTTTTATTTTTAATTAATTTATAAAACTTTGAGCGAGAATATCTCAACAACCGCCTGACCAAAATCGATAATTTTTTTATTTTATTTGAATTCTATATATTTGTAGAATTAGAAATATAAATAAAATTTTTAATGTAAATATGGGTGAGTCAATAGAAAAGGGACAAATTAAACCAAAAAAAAAAAAATCCATCGAATTTGTTCGAGTAGTTATTGAGATATCTTCGTTGAAAGTTTTGGCGACTTA